CCGCCTTCTCGTGGTCCTCCCCCTCGACGTTGACGCCGTTGACGGAGATCAGTTGGTCGCCGCGCTTCAGACCACCGTGCCGGTCGGCCACTCCATCGGGAATGATGCGGCTGATGTAGATGGGCGTGTTCTGCTCCCGACCGCCCATCACATTGAAGCCGAGGCCCTCCTCGGTCTTGGGCAGCTCGACGATGCGCGGATGGGCGTGGCCCTCGGAGGCGGCGAAGACGGCGATGGTCGCCTTGGCGGTGGCCGTCGCCCTGATGTCCGGGCTGCCGGTGACGTCCACCGTCTCGTAGACGCGCTCATAGACCTCGCGGACGGCGTTGAAGAAGTCCGACTCGAAGATCTTCTTGAGGGTGGTCAGCTTCTCGAGGGAGGTGTCACTGGGGAAAGTGGAGAAAGAGATTCGTGGTTAGATTTTGAAGTTAAAGTACAAAAGTTCTACTTACTTTGACATCCAGGCGCTGTACTCGGTCTTCTGCAGCTTCTCAATCAGCTCCACTGCCCGCTTGACGTCCTGCTCGAGATTCAGCTTTTCCGTTGTCATATTGTGGTGGTGGTTTATCGGTGTTGTTGCTCCAGCCGTTTTATTTTCTTCTAGATAAGCTTTTTATGGCGGTCGCCTTTCTAAGAAGTTGCTATCTGGGACCTGGACTGCTGAACAGTTGAATGGCTAGGCGATCAACCGATTAGGCGATACTGCTGCTAAAGCCCTCACATCTAGCAATACTGTAGGTAANGCTCCAGCCGTTTTATTTTCTTCTAGATAAGCTTTTTATGGCGGTCGCCTAAGAAGTTCCTAAGAAGTTGCTTTATATGTGACCTGGACTGCTGAACACAGCTGCTGAATGGCTAGGCGATCCACCGATTAGGCGATAGACTGCTGCTAAAGCCCTCACATCTAGCAATACTGTAGGTAGATAGATAGGAGAAGATAAAGAAGATGCAGGTGTACACAGAAGCAATTGGAGGATGGATGGATGGGAATGGCAGTGAAGTGATGATCTCCAATGAACTGTGGTGAGCAGCAAAGCAGAGGAATGTGAGCTGAGCCAGCCAGTCGTACACAATAACACATCGATATTTATGGCCAGCAAAAGAAGAGAGGAAGAGAGAGAGGTAGTGGTGCACTGGCCACAGCGGGGCAGTGGCCTCCGACAGCGGCATTCTCGGCCCACTCTGGTCAGCGTAGCCACGTCCACTTTGAGCGGAATCCACCGCCGCCGCCGCCGAAAGTAGCAGCATTAGCAGTAGCTGTAGCTGTTGTTGTGCCTGTATACTCTCTCTCTCTCTTTCTCCCTCTCCATTTCATTTATCGAAGCAACAGCTACCAGCAGCACCTGCACCAGCAGTGCTAATTACCATTATTCGGTCACCGATCATGCGATCACTGATCTCATTACCTGGTGTGCGCTGTTTTGCTGCCTAATGTTTGCCTAGTGTTCCCTTTGCTTTAGCAGCAGCAGCAGCACTGAAGAGGCACACACCGCCGAAAGACTTGTTGTTTCTGCTTGAAAAGCAAAGTACTTCATCGTTTGAAAAGCTATCAAAAATGGTCCGGTGCTTCCGGTGCGAGTATGGCGCCTGTCTCGGCAGCAGCAGCAGCAGCAGCAGTGGAAGGTCCTCTTCCGCCGTCCCTCTACAGGAATGTGTCGCCAGGAAACATGTAATTTCTGATGTGTTCTATATTTTTTTCCGGACACTTCTAACCAAATCTTTCCCTTCCTTCCCTGTAGTGCTTCATCTCCAGCACCCGCGAAGATGTGGGCCGCGGCGAGCAGATCGTCTACAAGCGCGGCTGCGACGACACCGGCCTCTCCTGTCAGATGACCAGCAAGATCGTCAACGAGCGAATGAGCGCCCGCCTCGCCATGACCTGCTGCTCCACCGACCACTGCAACAACGCCACGGTGCCCTTTCCACAGCTGGCACCCGCCTCCTCCTCCTACGGCTACGCCTCCCCAAACTCCGACTTCACCGACAGTGGAGGAGGAGGACAGTTCAGCACGGCCCTCCCACCGCACAGCGGACTGATCGCCTTCTTCGGCGTCTTCGGCCTCCTCGCCGTCGCCTTCTTCGCCTTCGTCTTCACCAAGAAGTGGCTCAGCGCTCGGAAGCAGCGAAAGCAGTCCCTCCAGCAGCAAACGCACCAGAATTCGAATAACTTTGAAGATTCCTTCGCTCTGGACGGCTCCTTTGAGTCAAAGATGACTGCTGCCACCGCCGGTCAACCTAAACTTCCGTACAGCATGGCCGACTATCGATCTGATGGAGTCAGTGGCTCAGTGGTGAGCCCGCTTTTGTCACCGTCTCTTCACCAGTCACATTCACTGCAATCCCAGTCCCAATCCCAGCCAATATCGATCTCCGGTGATCATGATCACCTCCATCACCACCAGAAGAACTTTGAGCAGTACTCCAGCACCTTCGACT